AGTAGACATACAACATATTTTTAATACAATTGCAAAAATTAGTCACCATCCTTTTAATTGTTCGTTTTTAAATTTACGTTTAGTAAAAGAAATCCAACACGGATTTTTAAGCGAGTTTCGTTTTATTTGTGAGATTTGTCGTAAGGAAGAAGTCATACGAACTGAACCATTTACGGATAAAATTATTCCTATTAATTTAGCTATTGTAACGTCAACAGTTTATAATGGTCAAGACTATTCCAATATTGAACAATTTTCCGCTTGTTTAAATATGCCTTGTATGTCCAACCCAACTTATCAAAAACTGCATGAAGAAGTAGGACAAAAAATAAATTATATTGCAAGGGATAAAATGGGACAAAATGGAATAATCAATTCATCATAGGCGTGACTAGACTTCATCGGCAGTGGTAGCCTAGCTAATAACCGGCGCTACCTTATTAGTGAACTGAAAAAAGCCCTATACACCCAAAGCCGTATTTTTTAAGCCCCGCTCCACAATAAAATATTTATATAATTTAAAAAAGTCTAAATTATCTATTTACAATAATAATCTACAGTAACTACAGAGATATTATTCGTCTATAGCCTTGGATTACACCACCTATATAGCTACAAATCAAAAATAATACAACAATAATATCAATAATACCTAGATGCGTACTGTACCGTCGTCGTCGTCTGTCTCAAGTCTTTATAGTAGGTTTTTCCGATTTCGGAAGTCAGGAAATCAATCTTTTTTAAGTAAATGGTAATTATAACGATACCCACAGAAAAATCAAGTTTAAAAAAAAAAAGAAATGTTGTAACCTTTCTGATTTAAAGCTCGGTTTACCTGCACCTTTCAAAAATTGCAGGGGCAGCCCAGGCACCCTAGGCTGCCACCGTAGACAAGCCTATGCAATTCATATTCTAAAAACAGAAATATTTTGGCTATAATAATCCGAAGACTAGGTACCTACCAGTTTCTAACAAAATAGATTTTGTTGTTTTGTTGTAATTCAAAAACGAATAACCGTACAGACTTGAAATAAAAATTGTGTAGGTATTAGCCCTTTTCAAGACATAATAATACTTTCAAAATATTGAGGATCTTATTGGTGCTATTTTTAATAATTTGAAATTTTCGATTTATGAATGATAATTTTTTATTTGTAAGTCAAAAAACTTGAAAATACGAATACTACGAAAATGTAATACGAGGTTATACACTTCCTCGTAGATTGTTGTTAAAGCAATTTAAAAAAATATTCAAAATATAATCACATTATTTTTATAAGCGTTTAACTATTAAGTATAAGGTATTGGTAGGTATACCTATAATACCTATATTATTATTTCCTGTATACAATGACATTTTCAGAATATGTAGACTATTTATACCTCAAACTGATTACCACTACCACTGGTAGGTACAATAAATTGAATTTAAAGTTAATAACAATAATATAACCCTATATGATAGTGATACTATATTAAAATAATTTTAAAATGATTAGGTATATAATATTTCCAATGTTTTTGTCAAAAATAATGGTACCCGGGTTCTGTAGGTACAGGGGTGGATTGGCCTAACGGGAAATCGGGAATCTTCCCGATGGGCCGGTTCTTGTGAGGGCCGCTATAAAAAATTATATTTTTATAAATTAAGCATGAAATATATTGAAAAATCAAATACCTAGGTATTATTTTTAATATCTTAAACTATTGCAATTCATAGAAGGAATTTTGATATTTACACTATTTTCCCCCAAATTGATGCTAATGTATTATTTAGAAATCTGTGGTATTAGTATTTTAGTGTTTATATTTTATACTTTATGGTAGAATTCAGTTAGTTGCTTCATAATATTAATAACTTTATCTTATCATTATTTTTATAATTGTTTGTAACTATTTTGATTTTGAACTTTTTACACGAATGAGTTAATGAGTCAGTTACAGTACTTACAGAAGTGTGTCTAGTGTGAAAATTCAATTGAACTATGCAATTTAAATTATGTGTGACGCTGGTGAAAAACGAAAGAAGGGTGGGGCTGGGGAGGTTCGATAAAAAAAAAAAATGTTAATGGAACCTATTTACGTGGAACCTTGTTTTAAATTTTCAATCCTTAGCTATAAAACATTTTATAAATTTTTAACTACCTACAAAATAATTATTAAATTTTGATAATTTTTTTCAAAATTCGAACTTTAAATGCTTTTAAAAAAAATGTGTGGCTATATATTTTTAATATTTTTCAATTGCTATTGTAACGTTATACCAGTAGCCTTTTATTACATTTTCACGCTTTTTGGGCCAACAAATAAAATTGTATTGGTATTTATACAAAAAATTAAAATTTGAAATGGTCTGTAAAAAGATCAAAAAGAGTCAAACTATTTTCAAAATTGAATGGTGTATACAAAATGCTAATATAAAAATTTTTCAAGTATCTACATTTACAGTCGTTCGATTTATAATTAAAAAAAATTAAATTAAAACAAGAAAATCATTACATGAGAAATCGAGTGAATATCAAATGTTATAAAAATACGAATTTCAAACGGTCATAAAAATTTAATTTGGATTTCTTGTTTACATTTTTTTTTTTTTTTTGATAAAGGTAGACAAACTTTTGAGGAATAATGTATTAAAAATGTGTTATCAAATTTTTTTTATGAATTTCTACGTAAAATGAATTTCATTTTTACGTATTTTGTCAATATTTGTACTTTAAATGGGTATAAAAAAAAAGACAATGGATTTTTAATTTTTTCATCTGCGTTTGAAACGATATACTAGGAGCATTCTATTAAATTTTCAAGCTTTTTAACCAACAAATAAAAATTTATTGTTATTAATAGAAAAAAAAAATAACAAAAAATGGAATCTGAAAATGACCGTAAACAGCTCAAAGTAAGTCAAAATGTTATGGTGTATAGAAAATGCTAATATAAACATTCAGTCAAAATTTCGTATACCTACGGTAATTTGTTTTACAGTTGCACCAAAAACCAAAATCGATTTTCTCGAAAACAGATTTTGCTTAAAAATTCCCGTTTTTCCTTCATTTTTCATTTACTTTTCAAGGCGCTTTTGAAAACTACTGGGAAATTTTTATTCTTGATCCCCCCCCCCCTCCCACAAAGTACCAAAAGAAGAAAATCGAAGTATTTATTATTTTTACTGTCCTAAAAGGTGATGACAGACACAAAAAAAAAAAATTAAAAAAAAACACACATTGTAAAATCAATACATTCATCGCTTCGCTCAGAATCTAAAATGTAATAAGATTAAACTTCAAGTTCAAGTTAGAACAGTCTGGACAGGTTAACCTTATCTGACTAACCCAAAACTGTTATAGTTTCAATTATAGGTAGGTACCTATTATATATTATACTAATTTAGGGGTGAAACTAAACAAATTTTAAAATTTGATTAAAATGATGATCATTTTTTGGGGGGGGGGGATTACATTTGCGGTGCAGGGCCAGTTTGATCCATATATTTCCCTTGCCGAAAAAATTCTTGTAATATTAATATAATAATATATAATTTATATAATATTATAAAATACCTTTAGAAATACACTATCGGGCTCAGTATTTATTGGTAAATAAGTAGGTAAGGAACATTTTGATTCTAGCAGGTTGATTTCCTGTTTAAAAAAGGGAACCCCATTGCTGGGCGTTGAATGTTGATAAGCATTTTAGATGATAAATACGGAAACCAGGATAGTCTTTTGTCCAACGTCACATCAAGATACTTGACAGATGGCTTCCAAGGGATTGAAATTGAACGAGGATGAAGTACGCTTGTGACTGAACATAATTCTTGTGCTTTTTAAGGGATGTTATTGTTATTTTCTAGTTATTAATTATTATTACACCAAAAAGATAAAATATGAATATACTCTCTCTCGTTGGTCTGACTGCCGTGGTAAGCGGCGTCTATTGCAACGGCCGGCATGCCGAGCGGCAGATCGCTTTTTTTCCCCTCAACGGCCGAATCGTCAAGTACGTCGTCTGCTCGACCGAATCCGCCATCTTGTCAAGCACCGAACACGACTTTGCTTCGCTACGGGGTATGAAATTCCGTGAATTGGGCGATTGTGGCCTTGAACACGGTCACCAGGGGGAGGCATACGTTATAAAATTAAATATATCATATTAATATTACCACAAAATAGATCTAATTACGATATTACGATGCTCTATGATATTTATTAATTAATAATTATTATCTGTACCATTTGGTACAATACTTAATTTTACCAAGATTTAATATATATATATTAAAATTTAAAATTTAAAATAACATTACTTAATGCAAGTAAACTCTAATAAAAAAATAATATAATACTTGAACTAATGACTAATGTAACAATAGGTAATTGGATTTGGAATAAAATACTAGGCTTAAAGAACAAACACATTAGACATTTAGGTAGTAAGAAATATAAGAATATATTTTATTTATTCAATGAAAAAAGAATTAAAATTGCTAGAAAATAATGAAAAACATATTACATTGTTAAACATTAGTTGGTCATAGTAGGGCTCGGATTTATATATTGTATTTATATAACCAAAGTATGTATTTATACAACAAATATATGTACATAAATATGTGCTAAACAATTCAAAATATGTATTATCAAAAAAAAAAAAATAATAATCAATTGCTATTGATTTTTTACGAGCAGTAGGTACAATACAAAATGTGACCGTAACTTTGTAAATGTTCATTTGGATATTCAGAAACATATTTTATTGCTTTGCAAGTTTTAGACGTTAGTACTTTTGGCATTACCTATTGGTAATATACATGTAAAATATAACGAAAAACAAGGACACGAAACACACACTACAATGTCACATTAAAAACTACACACTCATCGCAGTGTTCGCTCGTTTGTGTTTAACTTGTTTAAAAATGTGTATTTGGCATACTGAAACATTAGCCATAAACAAAAGTGAATTAATATCAATAGCCGGGTTTTTTTTAAATTCAATATTTATAAATTCGAAAGAATTTGAACTTTTCTGTTCCTTTTACCAGTACGTAATGCTTGAGATTCCTTATTGGTTCTATTTAATGAGTTGTATATTCGAAATCTTAAGAATAGGTTAATTAAGAAGTCTTTAGGAAAATTATCACATGGATGATAGAAAAAAATGTTATTTACAATTAAATCTTTAAGAGTCTTACCCACATGGGGCTGAGGAGCTAATGACATGAAATGTCTATCAAAAACTTGATCAATTTGAAAAATATACTGATAAAAAGTAGAAGAGGGCATCATTAAATTACCGAATAATAAAGAAGGATTTTCTTTGTATAATTTAAAATGAGAATAAAAAGTTTTGCTGGATATGGAAGTAGTTGCTTGTGCAAAATTTAAACAAGTTGTACATTGATGAACTTTTAAACATTGCCCGATTAAGTAACCACAAACGTATGTCAAGGCATTTTGTTCAGGTAAATTAATTTGTTTGTAATTATTAACGTTTTTAATAGGTAATGGAAATTTAATAGGATTTTTTTCTGGGAAAAGTATTTTAATTTCACTTATAGGAGTATTTTCAAGACAGAGTAAGACATCATCTAAATCTTGAATACAGTTAGCACTTACAGAGTGCTGAAAGTATTCAAGACAAAATAGTTTTTTAAACATTTGTTTAAACTTAATGCATGTAGGATTTATGAAATTTCCATTTTGATTGCTTACAGTTCCAAAGTAATTTTCTAAGACCTCTTGATTTAACCTACAAGTATATATTGGATCTATTTTGGAATGACTGTTATTGGTTAAATTTTGATAAAGACGATTTAATCCAGCTATTGATATTAACCATCCATTAATAAATTTTATATTATACTGTCTAGTTATATTAACCCACTCATTTTTTTTTACATTATATTTTTGGATTTCTAAATTTTCAAAATAATTTAACATTAAGTTTAAAAAATCTTTCTGATATGAAGAGTTTGAAAATGGTAATGAAAAACGTTTTGATCCCTCATGATTAGAAACTTCTGTAGAACTAGGATGGGAATTAAATAAATCAAACAGTTTATAAATGGAATCTATAAAATCAATTGTATCAAAGGCACTATGTGGTAATTCATTATAAGAAACTAGGGTAGTCATTCCTGCAACCACCGTATAACTAAAAACTTGAGAGGCAAAATTTACTCTCATTTTTTGAAAACTATTGGGATTTAAATGAACATCTGTTAATTTAGGGGCCAATCGATGATGTTTGCTTTTATCAGAATCATAAAAATTTGAAAGATGAATTTTTTCTGCTATTTTGTTTTGAGATTTGAAACGATAGTTGAAAAAGTTATTTCTAGTTGCCTTTAATAAATGAGGTGGATCAAACATGTATACAATTTCTTTGTCTCCAACATTAAAGTAAGGGGTCTGGGGGGTAATGCCTTGTTGATCTGCAAAGTGCTTAAAATTTAAGCCTAAATCAGAAATCATGACTACTACATTAATAGAAATATTAGACAACTTTTGAACAGTTTGGAAAATTATATTTTGCAGATCATATCCAGTAAAAGTGGTGGCAACAAAAAAATAGCCTACAGGTTGTTTCCAAGAACTATGTAGACCACTAATCATAATGACCATAACTGATTTAGTAACATGGAAAGATTTAATGAATCCTGTATTGTGAAAACCTATTATTTCATCTTTTTTGATATCATAGTAAAGAAAAGATTTAAGCGACATTTCATTTACACACAAGATACATTCTTTAGACTTCACTGTCATGGAGTTTGCTTTTACTGCTAGAACTTTAAATAAAAAGTCACTCAAACCAGGATTAATTTTCCAATTTTCTGTAGTTTTTTGCAAAGTTCTAACAGAAGGCAAACTCCAGGATTTCTGAAGAAATCTGTATACTTCAGGACCCATAAAATGGATCATGAGTACAAATTGTTTTGTCTCATATGAAAACCTATGTTCACAGGGATTTTGCAATGTTAGTTTGGACTGGACTTTAACAAAATTGGCAAAACCTTTATTTAGAAAGTTATCGCACATTAAATGAAAAAACTCTAATGTTGAAGACTTTTTTTGTTGGTCAGAACAATGCTTTTTTAATGTAAGATATTTTTTATGAAGATCATTAAATTTATTTTTTTGGATACTAAGCATATTATTGAGTTTAACATTATGTGGTGTGTTCCTTGACAAAGTTTCATCTGTTTGGGTTTCAGACGTGGAGCTATTGTCTGATGAATACGTTAATGATCTTGACACAGAAGCAGCTACAAAATAAAATACAAAATTAATACAATATTACTCGCTTATTATGTTATTATATAGCAGGGATGGCCAACCCGTGGCCCGCGATATTTATCAAATATTTATAAAAAATATTATTTTTGAGCCGATAGAATATTTTGGAATGCCCGCACAACCCGGTATCTGTATTATTAACAACGTAATCGTAAAAAGATCATTTGGGTTGGCCATCCCTGTTATATAGGTATAAATATAAGTAAATATTTACTTTTAGGAGTTGAAGTTGAACAAGACATGGCTGATACGTTTGACCAATTGATAGACGAAATAGAATTACTATAAATGTCAACAGAATCGGCCATTATTCTTGAAGTACTGCTAGTACTAGGGATGGATTCCTCAGAAATCATTTCTAAACTGATGTTTTGTTGCAACTCTACATCAGGCCAGTTAAATATAGAAGGCACAGCACTTTTAATCAACCAACCATTATTCTTGAAATCTGTTTTGACGAAGTGCTCTGAACATAATTTACATGTTCTATTACAAATGGATGGACCCTTTTCTAAAAGTTCGGGACGACGGCAGAAATTAACCCACTTATTAAATCTAAAACATTATAAAATTATATATTACAACATTGTTAGAATAATACATTATTAATATTTAATCAATTCTAATATTTACCTTTCGTAATCCTTCGGAAATCTATGGAAAGTAACATTAAATGACAAGGCTCTATACGGAGGTCTATACTTATTAGAACATAATATGCACTTAACAACCATTTCGGAATAGTTACAAACTTACAAATTACAATAAAAAATGGTAGCGGTGTCGTATGCTATCTACGCACTGAATGTTATCTACACATTGCTATTTACGTATAAATTTATGTTGTATGCTATCTACTTCGTTTTAAACCGGGGCACTTCATAAATAAATGAAGATTGTCAATGAATGTTCTTAATTAAAGTTGAAAAGTATTTTTCATAACAATAAAAAATGTTTTGAACGTAGGTATTTGTTGTGTTTATGGAGCGCCATCATTCTTCTTTAAGCTGCCTTTCTAGCAAATTAGTGGCACCATGCGATCTTATACCATATTTCACCTTTATATGTCGCCAATAACATTCCATAGGTAGTTTGAGTTTCAGCTCCTGTTAGTGGATCAATGAAATTAATTTTATGATTTACGGTATTGTGGATATAGCCATGATCGTTTAAACAACTGTAAGCTTTCCATTTATCTGAAAAAATGGTCGTCCCTGGCTCAATTTCTCTTTTAATAGGTAATTGGAAGCAAAGTGCCGCGGTCTCTTTTTTGAACGATAAACAATCGACGTTCTACTATATTATCACGTCTACAACACATTCCAAACACCCACGGCCCCTGTACGCGTACACCGTAATTCCGATTAGTTATTTCAGTATCAGTATCAGAACTGCTAGATCCTGATTCTACAATTTCTTCTCTAGGTTGACGATCTCCTAGACGTAGTCGACCACGATTATACTTCCGCTAGCCTTGAAATAAAGATTCGTAGATTTCGTATTTGTAGATAGCATACGACACTAGTATTCAGTGCGTGGATAGCATACGACACCATAGAAAAGAGATTACGACACCGCTACCTAAAATAATATGTACAGGACACTGATGTTCGCAATTTTGTAAAGTAAACAGTAAAAACAACCCGACCCCTCGCAGAATACCCTGCCTATTAGGCGGAAACGGTTTTTCAATACGGGTATAACATCATGTTGGTGTAAGGAAACAGTTTCATTGTTCGGACTTCAGATCATTCACACACTTCACCCATCAGCTGATCGAGTTTCGCTTCCATATTGTTCTATGCTACGACGGCTATGACGCCAACACGAGCAAGCGTCTCAACAATAAGTTATTGTATATATCTGTGGTCTCGACGAACCGACTCCCCCCCCCCATACCCGTATTATATTATACAGAATAAAAAAAATAAAAAAATAAACACCATTTTAAAACCACTAGCTTCATTGCTCTACTCAAAATCTAAAATGTTACAAAAAAATGTATAATTAATTGAAAATATAAAAAACTTTTTATTAAAAAGAATTTGATGTCTCATATTATTTAAAAATAACCAATTAATAATTATCAAACGTAATTTTTTCAAGACATTCACAGCCTATAAGAAGTACCCAATCACTTTTTAGGCACTTCCCAAATGCCAAGTGTTTTTTTTTTTAATAAAAATTATAAGTAGCTATTGGTTTTTTCCACTTAAGTGGAAAACAACCAAGATGAAGTAGAGCTTTGAAGAGAGAAGTCATATACTGAAATAATATGTTGAATAATTATTTTTAATTTTTCAACATTATATATTTATAAAAATAAAAACCTGAATAGTGAATTAATCTGCAGGTTACCTATTTTTAAGTATTTTAATATCATGAAGTGAACCTAAGCATACAAATCATTTTGCTTATACCATATGCATAGGTAACAAAACTATTATTCTTACAAATTTCAACATTTTCAAAGTTTCAAATGTTGGCGTTTGTACTACAAACTAACGTTGACCTAAGTTATTGCATCTGTGCAAACCAATAATAATATTATACTCTAATGTCTTTCACTTTTAACATTTAGTCACCATTATCCTATTTTTTTGATTTGTTAAATGTTACGTGTCTAAGTATTGATATTAAAATTATAACCTGTATGGCTGTATGGTTATGCAATATAAGTAATTATTAGGTATAGATACTCAATGGAACTCAATAAACTTCCGATAAAAATACCAAGTATGGAAAGAAAAATTGCTGAAGCCTAAAAGTATGGATTACAAAAGTTTTATTAAAAAAATAAAAACATTTTTAGCTAAACTTAATTAAAATATGTACTTATCCAATATAGATATTGCATAAAATAAAAAATACTTTTTTAACTGCTATATATTCATATAAAATAAAAGTGTTGTCAGCATTATTATATAGTTTTGTTATTACACAACAATCACAATGATTTTTACAGGACAACGGCAAGTTTTTAGTAAAGAAATTTGGGTTTATTGATATGTAACGGTTCAAAATTTGTTCTCATCAAGTTACATGAATTGAAATCCATAACAATGATATATTGATATATTATCATAACATAGTAATTGACAAAAATATTATCTGCTTGAGAATATACAATATAAATATGGATCACATCAATGAAAATAATAAACCGTAATAGAATAAGTTTAAATTTAAGAAAAAATAGTAAATGCGTGTACTGTTTATAAATATTTATTTCAAAAACTTAATTATTGACCGTCTCACCTTATACAATATATTATTTCAGGTTGCATACCTTTGAATGTTTTTATTTTATTCATTAACTCAATTCACATAGATTTAAGACATACACGTTTTGACAAAAAAAGATTTTACAAGAATTGTTAGCAAAGCCGCCAATATCGTATCAATGAATTAAGCAAGTATGGTATAGAAATATTTAATTTTAGGTTAAAAAAAAAAGGTCTGTTGTACAAACCTATTTACTGTACACAGTTACATAGAATCCACGATAATATTATTCATTAGTAATACAATCATATAATAACATGTATATATAGTTGAAAAACATCAATATTAAAATATAAAATTGTTCAGCAAAATCAATGTTTTGTCCATTGATTTTGTCCAATGAGCCAGTAAGTTCAAGTGTTGCAACCATTATTATGAATAAAAAATAACAATTTGACCAATTATTCTTCATAATATTGTGCAAAAAGATCATTAGAACATAAACATTTTAGACAAATAATTCAACACAAATTCAATACACTTAATAATCGTATATTATTCCTATTCATAATAATGTAAATTAACAATATCATTAAAGTAGCATAAACAGAATGAGAATCAATATATTTATGTACAGTTTAATTTTAACCTAAATAAATGCTGAATTTTTTAGTATCTAGTAGGTATTTATATAAAACTAAATAAAAAAAAAACATCATATATATTTGTATTTTATAACATCAAATATCTTATTTATATCAGATGAAAAAAAAAATGATAATTAACAAAAGAAATTTGTATTCAACATTTTTTTTTTCTGAAAAATAAATGGGTTTTTTAAATATGTGTGTACAATATCCATTTATAAATGATACACAAATAATATAATAATATGAGGAAATAATATTAAAGAAAAATATAAAGAATACACTATATCCAATATATTTTAATATATTATTAATTGTTTACTTATTTTTTTAAAATTAGGACACATTTAATAATCATAAAAAAAGTAAATAAATAAAAAAACAAAAACTTAACGAAAATGTTATCAAATATGGAGTACTTAATATCAGATTGGATTTTTGTTTTCTTATTATGTACCCATTACTAATAAAGTATATAGTAATCTTAAGAGGGAAATTACAAAAAAATAAAACATTAATATTATGACAATTTATGTTTTTTTTTTTGGTATTCTGTTTTTGACAATGTATGCTCAAGTATCATTGCAATAGTTAAGCACATGTTTTCATATAGAATACATACATTACACTACAATTTATTAACAATTACATAAGAATAGTAAAATGGGTTTTAACATTGTTGCACTAATGCCATTTAAATTCAAACAAAAAAGGATATATTAAGATAACACAATTCCATCACCGAAATAATTATGCAAATTAAAGTTAATTTTATAACGCTTGGGGCTTGGATAGTTTATAACAGATCATTTAATTTCAATATACTCATTACTGGTTAGTACTTAGATGATAGTTGATTGATGGTAAATATTACCTAATGTTTATTATGATGAAGACATGTAACAAGTAAAATGACATCTTAACTTTTAATGTAATATATATCTGTTTATTTTATACAGATGTAAACCAATACGATTTCTAAGTATTGCTATTTACATATATTTTTTTTTTATATCACTGACCCCTTTTAATACATGCTAGATTTCAATAACTGAAATAAAGAAAAGCTGGTAATTTTCATTGAATACATGTATAGGCACATAATATAATATGAAATTATTCAATATAATAACTAAGCAGTCATTGTAATTTGATTATTTATGTTGGATTACGGTAGTGGGGAGGGTGCAATTTTTAACTATAATAAATCCATTTTAAAATATACACATTATTAAAGAACAATTCTATTGACATTATATTTTTGAGCTTTAGAGAAGAAACGAGAACATTTCTAAATACTCTATATTATCACATAACTGACAAAAATCTAAAAACATAGTCTTGTACACCACACAAGTTTGAATTAAGCTCTTAACTTATAAATGTTTACAGTTATAACCAATAAAACTTTAATAAAAAAAATATATATAAATATATATATTATCAAATTTATTAAAAAAAAACTTGGAAAATTTGAGATTGACAACTTAAAAATTAAATATAATTGTATTAATAACAAAGTCATATAAAACATGGAGTCTTTGTTTTATTAATTATCAGAATAATATTTAAAGACAAATGAAAAACAAATATAGTTATGAATAATGTACTAGTGATAAGTTATTATAAATTTTAATACATAACAATATTAATAAGTAAGGACATCTGAATAAATATTTGGGAAATATTTTAACTATTGGAATTATATAAAATGCTTTAGTTAAATGTTTAATAATTACAATGCTATACTTATACAAGGTAATTTTTATATTATTATTGTAGGTATTTACATTCTGAAAACAAAACTAAATTAATTTAATAAGTTAAAGGTTAACTTTCTAGAAAACTCAACCATAATGATGCATTAACTTTTTTTTATTGTTTATAAAGTATCATTTTATATACCTAACATATTTCCATGAGCTAATTAATATTATAAATAATATGATAAGAACAACTATGCAAAATGTTCACATTATCAATGAGAAATTGTTTTATTTGTATTTATGGTTATTATCTATTATGTGTAATGATTTAACATAAAACTTTAAAAATACATAACAGATATTTAAAAATTACCTTATAAGTACACATGATTATCTTTAGGGTGGGAGTAATATCTATGTACATTTTGTTTTAAATTTTTTTAATAAATAAATAATTAATTTTAATCTTATTTATAATTGCTTTTGTGTAATAGGGGTTTTTTATGGTCAATGAGAGTGAACAATTAAATAAGGTATGAATTAGTATTTATCAATAATGTTTGTCATTACTTTAGCTTTAAAAGGACCAACTTATACATATATATAACAATATAATTAGGACTGAGTTTGAAAAAATAAAATAAAACAAATTATATATAGGCAATAAGTCAAAGAATAAAAATAATAATTTTTCAGCTAAAAACTTCATAAATTTGTGAAAAACCTGATCAAAATTTAGTTTGTGTTACATTTTATGATAATATTTTTAGTATCAAACTTTGAGCTTTATTATCGAATAAGACACGTAACACAAAGTTTAGATGGGCCAATACAATCGTCATGACAAAATGCTCCACATTTCTTACATACTACCATAGCGTTAAGACTACACGAACAATCATTTGTTTGCTGTGACTGACCATATGTAGATACTTGTATACCTACACTTGCTGGTCTTCCACCATTTAAAATTGGCGCTATTTTGTTATTGGTCGGTGGAGCACTAGATGATCGGCGTATACCTGTTATTCCACCAGACCTCTGGACCAACAGATACTGCCCCATTTGTTTTTCAGTTAGTTGTTGTTGCTATAAAATTATAATGAAAACAGCATTAACTTAAAACTCATTTCATAAAGTAACTTTCTTAACAATTGGGAAATATTTTTTTTAATTTGGTAATTATTAATTAAATATGAAGAAAACAAATAGAAATATTATATAAATTAGTTGTTCACTGAGGTTGTTAACAAAGTTGAGTTTAAAAATTAAAAATGCATATTGCGTCAATTTTAAGGAAAAGAGTGCATATTTCTTGATTTTCATACGCATATCATGCACATTTAATATTTTTTTAAAAATCTGATTTTTCTTTCGTAAACTCTTTAAATAATATTGAATATTAAACTCAGTATTATTTAACATAGTTATTACTTATTTATTGTTATTTCTTATCGTTTCAGTCTACTATTATTTTAACGACAACGGTGCAATTTACATTTTATGTTGAAAATATATATTTGCCAAAATACAATCTAATCGTGAATAAGATTTGTTATTAAAGTAAATAGTTTAACACAATTTATTGACATTTAACAATTGTGTTCTGGACACTGTGTGTTCTGACGTATCGTTAGCCAACTTAAGAAAATATTGATGATTCAATGCAACAACTTAACAGGTATTATAAAACATATATTTATTTTGTATTTAACTTTTCAAATATATATTTTTTAAACTATTTTTCAGTTAAATAAAATGTCAAAATCCCAACCGGTTAACCATATTTTATTTTTCCATATTTTACATTATTCCATGCACATTTTGCTTTTTTAACTACTATAACTTCCAATCCTTAATCATTATATATTACTAGATAAAACTATCAAAAAACACTTAACCATTTTATATAACTGAGCACAAATTTTTTGAGTTATAGTTAAAAATTAAAATACACAAATATTAAGTATTGGTGCAACTGAGAAAAAATTACTAATTTTTTGGCTATGTACATAATTATTTAATAAGAACAATATTATGGTTATTAACATATTTATCACTTACATCAGATGTATACGGCGGTCCAACAGACATTGTTACTGGAATGCCACGAGAAGATGCAAATACATGTCTAACAACCAGAGGTTGTGAACTGCTAGTGATATTTATGTTCCTTATTGGTTTCGGTCCATTTCGTAAACTAATATGAAATTATAAAATCAATTCTCAATAATTCAATATTTATTCACAAAATATTGTTTTACTTACATAGAGCTTTTGCCAATTAATACTGCTGGTGGTGGTTTCAGTTGACACCTAAGTTGATTACGATTAGGACTATTTTGTATAACGGCTTGACATATTTGGTAACTTCTTTCTAAATTAATAGCACCGGGTGGTTGCTTCAATGATGATCTACCACTAGTTCTACTTGATCCGCCACTACTTGAACTCACCTTAAAAAGACAAGATAATAAACATTTATGATACAATAAGATTTATGTTTTAACAGTATACTGAAGAAAAGTTGTATAAATCTTACTTGTGATTTGATTGATGACACATATGTATTGTGAACTGGACGATCAGAAGGAGCCGATGAAATATTAGATATTGTGTTGATAAATGAAAAATCATTAGGGATATTAGACTCTAGAGGAGATTGAACTAATGGAGATATCGATAAAGACGGTGTACTGGGTAATGGTGAACTGTTAGAAGAACTAATAACAAGAGGCTGAATAACACTAGGCATTCGAACCACCACAGGCGGAGAAATGGGTTTTGGAAGTTCTTGAATAGTATTCATATTATTATCATTTGGCTCATTTGGAGGAATTTGATTAGTTGTTGAGTTTACATCATCTACTTTTGGAGTTAAAGTAACTGAAAATACATTTTACATATAAAACCGTTTATATATTTATAAACTTAATGACTTTAATTAAAATATACCTTCTAACTCCAGTTGGACTTCACTTTCACTTTGTTCTTTTACTTTTGATGTAGAAACACAATCGTATTCTGGAATTAATGTTTCCAGATCATCATTCATTAAAGAAGACCAGTTTTTAATCACTGATGTTTCATCCAAATTAACATCATCAATTTTATCAACATCGCTTATAAATTCATCTTTTAATGGAATATCTATTACAATGTCTTCACACTGTATGGACAAACAAATAAAGTTTTATTAAATTATTAAAATTATACGAATTATATTTTTAAGAACATAAAATAATATTACACAACAATTTATAAAACTAATACCGGATTGCATAAAAAAATTTTTTTCATTTAATAGTTTGCTTCAAATTTAATGGACCAATCATAGGCTTCTAAATCATGTTTAAGAGGGATCACTATTGATGCATATAATGTAGGTGTAATTTTTCATGCAACTAGGCAACAGACCATTTTTTTAAGTGGAAATTCCAAGAAGTATAACATCATATTTATCAGTTCATAATTTTTAAAATTTAAAATTAATATAAATATGCCAACCTCGGATCAGAAAAAAAATTCAGTTATCATTATCATAAAAAATATCATATTCTTTTCATATTTTGACATTTTTTACGATTGGTATGGCATAATAGATAATTTCACATTTTTATTAATAAATTAAAATTATTAATTATCCATGCTAAAACTTCAATATTTGCAAGTATTTACTTTTGGTACAACCACATCCTCTATTAATGGTTTTATTGTAGAATCTGTCGTGGAATCAACAGAATCCCATGGTGATTCTAATTTTTTATCTTCACTTTTAATATCATCAGACGATGAGCATGTGGTTGGTATTGTTGTTGTTGCGGTTGTTGCTGTTGTTGTAGTAATCGTAGTTGTCGTTGTTGTGGTCTCTTTTGTTGTTGCTGTTATGGCATTTATTGTCACATCCTTAGTAACAGTATTAACAGGTGGTGTGTTTACTGAAATAGTGATAGTTTCGGTTTTTTTATGCTTAGGATAACGCCAGTCCGAAACAGCAGCATTTGAATTTGATAGTCTATTTTCACCCCAGATAGGTTCAAAATACTTTAGCTGAAATTAAAAATGCATTATATTAAAACTTATAAAATTATTTAAATTAGTAACATTAATTTTTACATAGCTATACATTTGTGTAATTTTATCATCGTAATTAAAACAGCATTATTTTTTCATAATAATATAATACAGTTGAATCCGCTTAATTGGGACACATGGGAGGTGACATATTTGTCTCTATTATTTCGACTGTCCCAATAAACCGAATTATTATACATACAATTCATTAAACAGGTGTCTCCTTTAAGGGGCGTCCCTTTTAAGCGGATTCTTCTATTATATAAGTTCCTCAATTAATGACATTAAATTTTTTTTTTAGTTTATGAATATAAATCAAATATATATGTTAAAAAGTGCATTTAGATTAATAGAGTAATTAATTACTCACTATATTTATTGAATAGTTTAATTTTTTGAATTAAAAACACATGAACTAACAGTTGGAATTTTAACTTTTGTTATTTCAAATTATTTTAATTCTTCTAAAACTAACAAGTTCATAGAACATAATTGAGTGGTATTATGTTTAACAGATTTCTTCAAAAGAACATGCTAAACGAATAAATTAAAATGTTGTTAATTTTCCACCAAATTCCTGAGTCTTCTTCAGTGACAGTTGGTCTCAACTAAATAGACGGGTACAAAAGTATGGGTATAATGATAATAATAATCATTTTTAAGTATAATATAAAAACTAGGGTCTAGGCTTTTATAAATAAAAACATTTTATTTATTTATAAGATGCCAATTTGCTTTAAAAAACGTATAAATATTCTTAATACTTTTAGAAATGAGAAAAATAAGTTTTTTTATGCAAATATAATCAATAAACAACAAATTATTATGCTTTAATGATTTTTCAAATTATGTATAAATTTTTTTTAAATTAAATATTTAATGCACAGTTAGTGTAACCAACTTAAAATAAAATCAAAATTAAAACAAATTTATTGGTGATAAAAAAATTGTATTGGTTACTCCAAAACAAAATTAACAATCATGTGATTATAATTGACATTTTTTTTCTTATAATTTATACATCCTAAAGAAACTCAAAATTCTCAAATAAACTAAAAAAACTTTTTCCTCTTTAATGAACAGTTCTAATTTTCTACTCCTATTGAACTTCATACACTCAATAAGTTAGGTAAAAACCTGGACACTAATAATATTTATGGTGTAATCTCAAATCAAATTATTTAATGACTTACTTTAAATGGATCTAGTTTACTTTTTTCACGATCAATATCCATTTTCATTTTTTGCTGATTTTCAGGTGTAAATTCCCCTTCTGATAGTCTATCAGTCCATTCAAGACAAGCTTGAGCAAAGAACTCATTATTTAAAACAGATGAGTTTAATAATGGTCTATAAAATCACAAGATTTATCATTTTATTTTAAATTTATTTAGTTATGAGATATAATATTTAACTTCAGCATACAAACCTGAAATCAGATTGAGTATCACTTAAACTTTCCCGATCAACATGTGGTAACATTTGTACTAGTTTATGTTGATAAAGACGGGGTAGCATTGAAAAAGTTTGTTTGTTCAAAAGTGATCTCAAATTAACTTGTGTAAGAACAGAATCTGGCGTTTCTAAATCAACACAACCTTCAGCCTTTGCTTGCTGCAATTGAGCAGCAGCTGACAATCGTTTAGATCCAGGGCGCTTACGTGGTTTTACCAAACTAAAACCTGGAATAGACGATAACACTTCTAACATTGTAGGTACTCTAGATTCATCTTCAATGGCTGTAAAAACACAATAAAAAGTATTAAAAATAATCTATTTTCTAGACAATAATAATTTAGATGATAAATGTAAAATGAACAAATCATATTTTATACACACTTCACTAAGTACTAACTCTAAAAATAAAGTTTTCAATCAATTTTAAACTTTAAAGTATGGTAAAATAAATAAATTAAAATATACTTTTTAACATTAATGAATATAGAATTTTTTTTTAATATTAAATAGTTAACCCAAAAAAAGGTTTCTGAATTTCATTAAGGACTTAACTTGCAATTGTAACATTTTATAAATAAAACTTGTTATAGAAAAATTATTATTATATGTCCAATAGACATAAATTGTTTTTTTTTCTCAAATTCTCAAATCAAAAATACAACAAAGATACCAAAGTACACATTAGACATTTGAAGTTATGAAAGAGTTTACATCTTAGTTACTAGGACTGAAATTTAAGATAATAATGAACTGTCACATTTACTAACACATTAGAGAAAGGTTTTATTTATGATAAGTATCAATATGTGTAGCTCATTGGATGCTATTGATGAGTGAATCTAATTTTACTATTGAATCAAAGATTCTTTGTGTACATTCATTGAGCTAATATTCGATATGCATGACCATTAATGTGAATTTATAGCACAATTATTACGAGCATAGAAAGACAACATTGTGATAAGAATTTGAACTACCAAAGTTAAATTTATGTAGTCTATATCTTATAGAAAATAATTCATTTTATGAAACACGAGATAACTGAATGATTATAATAAAGGTGCGTTTAGACGGCGCGAGTATGACTCGTGAGTCATACTCGGGCATCACTACCGTGAGCGAGTCCCGCGAATCTGATTCATGGTAAGTCGTGACTCACCTAGATAAAGGGTGAGCCGTCAGTAGGATACTAATTAAAACGTTTACACGGCGCGAATCAAAAGTGCGAATCGCCTTTGACGCGCACCTCGAGACCGACTGACTGACGCTTCGCCGCGCGAGTCGTGATTCGCGTTCTACAGCCGTCTACACGTTACGAGGATTGATGCGCGAGTCCGACTCGCGAGTCAAACTCGCACCGTCTAAACGCACCTTTATACTATAGTTCATTAGAAATGCAAAGTATATTAGTTATTTTTGTATTGAAAAAGTTGCTGATTTTCAACAGAGAAATTTAATTACTCAAGTTTACAAAAAAGTTTTGTCTGAAAGGAACCAAGGTTGTATTTTAACGAACTAAAAACAGGGTCTAAAAGGATTCCTTAGAGGATATAAAAGCCATGCATTTGTGGTCTCCACCTTACACATCGACATATGCAACGAATAAGGTAGTAACTCAATTTTTCAATTTTTTTTTTTTTTAATTTTCAATAGTGTATCACTGTTTTTCTGGAAGTCCGACGAAGACGGCAGTTATACCCTATAGAAAATAAAAATAAAAAAATTTGGAAAATTGAGTTACTGTCTTATTCGTTGAGTGTGTCGATATGTCCGTCATGGAAATTTTTGTTTATTAGTTTCAATAGCGTGCTGTTAGTTTTGATAGTAGAGTGAATTTATCTCCTATGAGGTAAGATAATTACCTGTGTTTAAGCGTTGATTTTTTTCAATATTTTAAAATTCAAGCGAGAAATGAGCATATTTAATTTGTGATATTTAACATGACTATATCTTGGTAAAAAAATTATAATATCGTGAAAATCGCACTCTTAAATACAGATAACGTTTTCCCATAAAAATTTCATAATAGATCTGTTCGCTCTAATATAAAAACTAACAGCACATTATTGTAACTAATGAACAAAAATTTGGTATATTGTAAGTTTTTAAGGTGGAGATAACAAACACATGGCATCCTCTTAATGCGACCTAACACTAAACATTTGCAATATTAATTTTCCAGGTACCTTCATGGACTTTTCGTGGACACAAAAGTATATTTTCATTATTATTGATGTATTCACAACATATTGTTGAGTTTTTCCAACCAGAAGTACAACAAAATAGAAAGTAGTTGATCGAATGTTAACAACATTTTGTAGTTCAAAATATCAAACTATGAAAATGCATTTACTTCTGGAAAGTTTGAGAAGTATTCAACGCCAAATAGCAGTTTGACATAAATTGGTGAGTAAATATAGGACAAATATGAAATAAATAAAGCATATATTAATATGTCCTATTAAAATTAACATGGAATACACTGAAGGAAATGGTAAGTTCAGAGATTGAAAGATACAAGATACCAATTTAAAAAATGAATATTGGTGATCTAAATTAATGGTTTAAGAATGTTCCAAAAGGACAGACAGTAGCAGTTTTGACAAGATTTCACGTTCAAGTGTCAGATGGTTCAGATACTGAAAATCCAGCTTTTCGGTGGATTCTAATTAAAATAGAAGTGAATTTGAAATTGATAATGTAATCATTATTTTTAATTTTATATATACAACTTATATATCAGTAGTAGTAGTAGTGACATTTGTTAGTTGTGTAGTAATTATATTCAGTCATCTGTATTGTCCAAAATCTAAATAAAACCTTGTTATTATTCAAAGCATATAAGATGGATTTGCATAATATGTTGACTGTCTTCATATGTTTAACATATCAAATCAACATATCAGATTTTTATTACAGTTATCTTATTTAATATTAGAGAAAATTTATATATTCAAATAAACAATTGAAAAAGTCTTTGATCGAGAGCTTACATTCTACTCAATAAATTTGATATGTAAATGTTCTGTATACTTTATTCAGGATAAGAATGTCCAAATTCATGCATGAATAATGATTACTGAGCCGTTGGCAGTGATCTTTATTCTATGGTAATGGTATGAATTATCATTTGCTAACCTTGCCTAAGAAAACTGCTCAGTTATTAGTATTCATGCTCAAATTTGGGAATTCTTATCCTGAATAGAGTATAATATTGATATTAACTATAAATAAACTGTATTAAGAATTGGATACATCAATTTTATATATTATGCATAGGACAGAGAACACATTCCTAGCCTATACATACACAATTAATATCTACATATATAAGACAGTATCATTTAAAATATTTGAAAGAAGTAAAAATGACAACCTATACTAGCTCCATGAAAAAAAAAAATTATTATACCTAAGAACCAAGAGAATTTAATGGTTCACACACATATAAAGAGACTAATATGATATAATTAAAATAGTTAAGACTGAAACCATACACAAATGAAAAGATGAACATGAACAATGAAAAGATGCAAGTAGAGGAAGACATTTTGATGAACAGAAATTTGTCAGTTTTGCTGAGTAAAACTAATTGGCATCATTGTACAAAGTTTGCATATACTGAATGACGCCAATTGGCGTCATGTATCTTGTTATTTCATGGGCTATAATTTGGTCAGCGTTACGATTAAACTTTTGGTTTTTTGTCAGCGTCTTCTATAAGCATTGTTTCATAATCAAGTGCAAATCGTACACTGATATTTTAATTTTTCAATTTTTAGGAAATTTTTTTTTAAAACTAGAATTTTATCAGCGTCACGACAAGTATACAAAAATATGATACGCAGTGAACGTGTTAAACTGGCAATCGACAAGAAAAGATGGAGAGGATTGCTTGTAGCAGTTCAGAAATTCAGAAAGCTAACAAATTTAATTAGGACGGTTGAAATTATATAGTAATACTTTTAAGTTGATACAATATAGTGGCAAATAAGACAAGTGAACTAGAACCCCTAAATAGTTTTAACATAATTTTAATTTATGAACTTTTTAATACCCAGCCGTCGTTATTATTACTGTTGAATTTATGACCATAAAGTAAATGATATTATCCTTACTGTTTATTTGATTAGAAGGAAGTATAATTCTTGGAAGAGGAGCTACATTTCCAGCCGCAATAGTAGTATTTTTGCGCCTTCGTTTAGCCTGTTGTCGTAAAGCATGTTTCATCACTGTTTTTGAACCTGAACTCTTTGCGCTAGCTCCTCTAGTTACTTTTGAAATACTCCAAACATTATCGTTTTCATTAGATATCTTATCATTTTCTGAAAAAAATCAGTTTAAAATTTAAAATAATAATAAGCAATTTCATTGGACCTCAGTGGCGTGTAACATAGGGTCCAAGTGTGACTAAGGCAACACCTTAAATATGGGTGAGTGGATATTTATAGATGAAAAATAGGACATTTTATAGGTTGGTATAACAGTATTATGAGAGGTAGGTCATGTAAAATTATTTGTGCAATCCAATTTTTTTTTATGACACACGGCATGGCTTAAGAGGACGCCACACCCACATGTGTTGTCTCCGTCTTACAAACGCGTAACATATCAAATTTTACACTCTGCAGATCACGTTTATCTCCGTTAGTTTAAAAGTTAGAGTGAATTGACCTCTTATTAAATATAAAGGTAAGATTATTGTTGAGGGCATCTCATAGGAATTTTATTATATTTTAATTTTAAAACGAATATTGTGTATTTTAAGATGTATATAGGGGAAGTAATGCTAACGCGGTCCCCCCTCTGGTTCTCGATACCACGAAGAAAAAAAAAAAAAAAGATGTACAAACAATTTACAATTTTAAAATAGTAATAATTCGCTCTAAAATTAAAATATAATAAAAAGGATATGAGATGCTCTCGATAATAATCTTACCTTTAAATTTAATAGGAGGTCAATTTACTCTAACTGTTAAACTAAAGGAGATAAACGTGATCTGCGGAGCCTACAATTTGCTATGGTACGCACTTGTAAGACGGAGACCCCGAATGTGAGTGTAGCGTCCTCTTAAATATACAAGGTTATTGCAATAGTACTACTATATCATTTTATCACGTTAAGGAATTAAAATGGTAGTGTAAGGGACGACCTATACTGGCTATACTATGATATTATATAGATAATTATATATATGATAAGGGCCTTACCCTTACACTGCCTTTTTACTTTTGTTTGATAACAATATGGGGTATGTGCAATAACCTTGTATATTTAAACAATGATACCTGCCACTGTTAGACCTTTTATATAACCAAAATTAAATTATTAAGCAACAACCATAAAACTACTTTAATCCTTAATATGTGACACATAGTTTTTATTTCATACCTTTAAGTTTCTGAAGTTTAACAGGAGTTAATGATGTGTTGGAATTTCCAGAAGAAAGAATTGTCCTTTTTCTGTCCTCCATTTTATTCATTTCATATTATGTCATATATCTAAAAATATATATATATATATTATTACAGTCAACACAAATTATTTTGCTTAAATTCATAAGGATGCTAAAATATATTACAACAACAAATTATAATTTGTATAAGTGATTATTTCTTTTCTGTTATCTTTTTAATTAACAAATCATCAAAAAAATCAAAAGTTCCACCATAAAATATTAGAATTTCCTGGAAGTACCTACCTTGTACCCACTCGGGAATGTTAAATTTTTCAAAAAGATTTTTTGTTTCTTTGATGATTTAGTTACAAATTCGTAAGTCAATGAAATAATTAGTTTTAGAAAAAGTAATTAAAATGCAATATATTCTCAACAAAGCAATAAACGCATTGGTTTTGTAATTATTACAGTCTATAGGTATATATTTTTTTGTCTATAGCACCTTCTAGAACAGTAAAAATGTTTTCATTAATTCTGAGGATGATTATATTATTATAATAATTATTTTATAGTATATAATTTAAATGTATAAAAATTAGTTGAAAATACTATACCTAATACAAATAGTAACATAAATAAATTATAAAATGTCCTTAAAAATAAAGACATACAGTTTCCAGTCGGAATCATTTTTACTACACCTACAATAATTTATAATTGAATTCAAGTAATTCAACATTAACCTACTTATTAATGTGACTTCCTCAAGTAATGACAAAGTGCACTTGAAATATACTGTACAGTAGAGTGACTTCTCCGGATTTTCAAAAATTATTATCTACAATATATTAATTTATATACATAACTGAAACAAGTCTTTTATCAAGATTAACTATGTACTTAGCAGTTCAAGAATAGTATATTATGTATAAGAACAGTTGGGTAATAATAACTTCAACAAACCAATAACACCTTGGTAACAATTAACAACTATGAATTGGAATATTAAAAACCAGAGCAAAATCGTCTATGTTTGTTGATTCTTAATTATTGTATATACATGTTGACATATTATGTACATACATATACTCCTTTTCAAAAGAGAATATACCACTTTCGCTCATGTCAAATAATTTGATTGGTTCGTCGAAAACCACGTGATCAAGCTAACAATGGGAAATTGGTGGGAAATGCGCACTGCCGGACATAAATTGGTCGAAGACCGGTATATTCTCTTCTAAAAAGGAGTATATAATTAAAGGTTTTTGGTAGGTATATTTTGAATTAGAATTTAATATTTTTGGATTTTTTGATATATAATGTATGCATATAATATTATAACGTTATAGGAATTAAGGACCCATGAAATATATTATTTTTATATCAATTGATCAATGTCCAAGAAGGGTATGTCCTTTAGGTAGGCACCGTGAAAAATTAAGGCAGCCGTCAGGGCGTTATAAAAAGATTCTAATTAACTACCTATTTGTTAATTTTTGAATATTACTATCATAATTATTGAAAACAGATGAACATTATTTCACAATTATATAAGATTAAAATTTTAAATAGAAATAGTAAAAATTAATCTTAAACCACAGCCACAACATTAAGTGTTTGTGTGTATACATTGGTTATTTGCAATATTTAAATTTTTTTAAGCAAGTTATTATTAACTGCAGTACGGTTTATAGTAATATTTTACATACATTAAAAAACATTATGAGTAACCAACATTAACTATCATTTGATTAATATTTATTGTACCTATAGTATTGGTATCTAATTTTTACGTGATTAGAACTATTAATGAAGTTTTATTAGTCATATCATGTTTTTATTTTTAAATATGTATGTTAGATAGGTAAGTACCTACTTAAAAATGAATGTCCTAAAAAGTTTTCTATTGGAAATAATGGTGCAAACCATCTCTAGGTAGTTACATTATTTAGATAACTACCACCTATTTTTCAATTTATTGATTGATATTAGTTAAATTGTGACTTCCACTTTATAAACCAAGTGAAACAACTCTATAGCTACTATAGGGACATGGGACAAGTATTTTAATGTTTTGTTTATAGGTAAACAATATTTTTTTTAATTTTTAAATATTTGTGATACCTATTTTAAAAGAATTCAATTTAAAAGTGCCTAAATATATTTTAAGTGATAAATAACAAGACAATGACAGCAACATATTTGATAATATAATAAATTTTAATACTATAGGTAGGTACTGAGTACTTATTTATAGTAAAACTTTGAGTATTATTAATTGACCGAAAAATGTTAAAAAATGTTTGAAAAATGCTGAATAAAAGTTTCACCGTTGAAGTAACTGTTTTATGAAATAAATTATATACTTGGAATGCATTGTCTAAAATCACCATAAAAATATTATGAACTTTACATTGAAATCCGGGCTGTACTTATAACTATGACAAGGTTGGAGTGCGGAACTGGTTTATGGAACGAGGTATGTTTATTCTGCGGCGAGTATGGGTAACTACCTAAAATTAAGATTATATAATAATTTAGTTGAAATATTAAGTTTTCCTTCCATCATTAGTTCAGAGCAAATTAAGACATTATAGTGAAAACTTAAAGGAATAAGTAAGTAAATAAAATAAATATCCACATAATATGAAAGTATGAAAATATATATATTATTATAGAATCAAATCTGCCCCGAAAAAATAAATAAAAATGTAGGAAGGTAATACAGCTAAGACTAAAATCTGATTATTTACACAACATAATACATATGTCTGTATATAATATGTTTTCTAATACTAAAATATATTCTGCAAATTGTGATTTTATTTTTACTTTAATTATATTATGTTCAATTTAAACAGAATTTCAGAATTAAATTTTTGTGATGCAATAAATAGATGAATAAAACACAATAGTCAGGAAAATATATTTACATTAATGTAATTTATAAATGAACAACAGATAAGTTGTAAAGATACATTGAGAATAATTTGTATATTTTTTAACTGTTACTTTGTATTATTTCGGACGTCATTAAAATATATAAGTTATGCAAAAATATGAATAATACCCTTGATAGAACCTAATTACAATTTTAAATTTTAATAACAGAACATTTGAAATGAGCATATTGATATATTTAAAGAATATTTAAAAGAAGTTCAACTAATGTCAGAATACAATTCAGAGTTAAATAGAAAATATAATAATTTAAGCCATATTTAACCATATCAGTTAACAAAATTAGATACACTAATTTATACCTATTTGTTCTTTAAAAATATTCTTGGAGATATGAGTGGTTCTGAGAAGGTTCTTAGTAGGTATCATAATTTACATCATACCTAGATGATGTTAGGTACCTAATAATAAAATCTAATTTTATTTTATTTTTCACAACAATTAAATATGTATATGTATAGCAATAATATGCAACAATTTATCCTCGAATTTATCTGATTAGTATATTTTTAATAATATGTTAGTAATGTTGATATGAATGCATGGATTAAAAAAATATACAATTAGATGAATTTTAAATAGGTAGGTGGTAGATAATCATAATTATTTGAAGAAATGTTTAGTTTGTTAGTACAGTGAGTAACGCTTAGTGTGATCACATTGGTACAGGCCATTTTAATTCTATTAACCAGTTGATTCCATGAAGCCTCTTTTTTCAATACAATATTTGGTTTGGAATTTTCATTTTTGATTCCAATAAACGGTTGATTCTATACTAACTACTGGGCGGTGAACAAAACTCATCTGATCTCGCGCATTCCCACCATTAAATTTGCCCGTACACTGGCCGGCACCACCGTCGTAACTATATGGTAGAGTGGGAGAAATTTGGGTACGAGAACGCGGAGCTAGGTCATTTGGATGCGCCAACGAGTAGCGTTCTCTCGGTGGCGGCAGTATATAAACCAGTGATCACATTAAGCAGAACTCACTGTATCATAGTTTTTCGATTATTTTTGTTACAGCTACATAGGTAAATAAATGCATACAGTAAAATTTTAAAATGTGGCTCTTCTGTTACTACTTTTTAGATTTCATTAAACAAAATCTATAACTCTCAAATAATTGAAATCTGCTTAAACCTACGAATTTAGAAAATGTATCTACCTACCAACATTAATTTGGATACAAAGACGCTATTTATTATAATAGGTTATTAGGTAATAACATACTATTTGGTATTAATAATAAATTAGGTAGTAAGAAATGTTTTAAGCACATATACTTACACAATAAAAAAAAATATAAAATTAATAAAATAATTCCATGAACAATTACTCCTCAATTTAACAATTACAAATATTATTTAACAAATTTGGTAAAGGAAGCCATATGTTTAATAGATATCTATTATAAATGTATAAATTACTAAGATTCACCTGTTGTTGGTACATATGTGAACGTGCAAGTTTTTCAGTTTTTGAGATACCTAGGAAGTTTTAGAAAAAAGATTTGTGATATTGGCAATTTAAATTTTTGAGCATTAGTATATTATTAATATTCGATTGTGTACTTAACCAAAATTGAAAAATACTAATTTAGCCTTCACTTTCAATACTAAAATAAGTGCGATCATTTGAACATGGGTACTCTACAAAATATGTAAATAATTCAAGTAAACATATAGGTATGTACAAAGAGAAATAATAAAAAGGCAACCAAAATAGGTAATTAAATTCATTGAACATTGGAGTGAATAAAAAAAATGGGAACTTTCAACTTTTCTACTTTACCGGTCACCCTTTTTTTTTGCAATTTTTTTTTTTGAAACTTATGTAGTTTAGTACGCTAAAAATGATGGTGAAGTCAGAATTTGGAGCACGGATTTAGTTTTGAAATTATGGCCTAATGAAGTTCACAACTTCAGGATTTTTACGCATTCACCTCGGGTGAACTTAAGTTATCAATAAAAAGGACTTTTATTGCCAGCGTGGCCACTTGCTCGCTTCGGACATTAAAATAGAAAATATCCCCCTATTTCCTATGTAAACCGCCATGGGTAAACTTGGGATTTCAAAAATATTTTTTTTAAAGTACGTTTATTGCCAGAGTGGTTATGTCGT